CCACATCAGCTGATGGCCTGACCCCCCAGCCACACACAGCGTGAGGAACGTGCCCACCCCACCCAGGTCCACAGAGGCGAAGGGTCCAGGGAGGGAGGCCGGAGCCCTGGTGGGGGGCTTCCAGGCAGCTGGGCACTAGCCTGGGGAGGGCAGGCCTGGAGCCCCAAATGCAAGTCCCCTCCCAGCTCCCCATGCCCATCAGGGTGACTTGTGTGCCCGCTGTGACAGGAATGTGGGCCAGCCTCCGGGGCACAGGACACACACAGGTGCTTAAGACCTGTAGAGGGCTGTGCACGGCTATGCACCAAAAAGCCCCAGGCACGTTTGATCCACTGTTGAAGGCTGTGTACATCTGGGATCAACGAAGGGCCGTGCCCGGCTGTCAGGCATCTCCCAGCTTTACAAACTGTAGAGGGCTGTGCCCAGGGAGGGCTGCCGCCACACCCACCTGTGGCCCTCTTCTTGGGGGACTTGAGGCTTCGGGAGCGGGAGCCCGGGGAGGCAGCCCCACTGTCGCTCATGGAGTCGGGGGCGGAGGACGCGCTGCCGGTGGCCTCGCTGTCGCGCATCATGCTTTCGTAGCCGCTGCTGCCGCCGCTGTGGTAGAACAAGGCGGTGCGGCCCATGGCGGGCGGGAGCTCCCCGCTCAGCACGCTGCTGTTGTCGCTGCCGTGGCCGCTGCTGTAACGCTGAGGCCGCCGTGGGGCCGTCACCTTGCTGTATGGGGAGGGCAGTGCGGGGCCCACAGGGGGCCGCTCCCTGCCCATGTTCACCCCGCTGTCATTGCCACTGTCTGAGTCGGCCGAGCCCCAGGAGGAGCCACCTCTGCCAGGGGCTCCGCTGGCCGCCAGCTCGTTGACTCGGCTGTGGGTGGCCCGGAGTGCCTGCTTGGTGCCCATGATGGTGCCCCGGCTAGCCTTGGCCCCAATGCCAGGTGTCACTCGTGGGGCTGCCCTGGGACCTGTCACAGGACCGCCAGGGGTCTTGCCTGCCACAGGGGCCAGCGGCTTCACAGGAGCACCCACAGCCCTCGACCCGCTGGTGGCCGGGCTGCGGCCCTTGCCCCCACCAGCTGGGGGTTTGGGGGCCCCCACACCCTTGGCTGGGCTGGCCTTACAGGCAGGAGCAGGCCCGGGCGCAGGGCTTGTGGGTGGCACACCCAACCTGGGCACTGCCCGGGCTGGCCTCGCAATGGCGTCCCTGGCCTTGCTGCTGCCAGGAGCCAGGCCTTCACACCGCTCCAGAGACCCATGGGCAGCCGGGCGGAATGTGGCCTCTGCCCGGCCAGCCCGGGCCTTCAGGCTGGACGTGGCCCTGGCGACGGAGTGGTCAGCCCGACCACTGGGCCTGGTCTCCTCCTCCCCCCGGAAAAGGGTGGCAGCCCCGGACCGAGGCAGCCCCCCGGTTGGGAGAGGTGCTGTTGCGGGGCTCGACTTGTGTTCCAGGCTGGACTTACGCACAGGCGGGGCTGGGGGGGCCACCCCGCCGGGCCTCGAGAAGGGGCCCCCCTTGGGAGCCACGCTCTTTCTGCTGCTGGGGGGAGCCTTCGGGCTGCCCGAGCAGGTCACTGCCTCAGCCAGAGCACCCCCACAGGAGGTGGCAGGCGTGGTCACACCCAGCGTCGTGGCCCCCCTCCGCAGCGGGGCGATCTGAGCCATGGCCTCTGGCCTGTGGGCTGCCACCTCACAGCCGTCCACCACCCTCCGGGCACAGGCCGGCATCGGGGCCGGGCTGGGGGCCCTGCTGGCAGAGGCCACCTGCAGTGGGCCACATTCACCTGCCCGGAGCAGCCAGGGGTCCTCAAATAGGCCTCCAGGGCCAGGTGGGCTCAGGGCTAGGCGAGGACAGCCCGCGCGCCCAGCCATGGAGGTAGTCCTGGGTTTCCTGGGAAGGCTGGAGTGGATGGTCTGTGCTGGGGCTGCCCCCCGTGGAGACGCGTCCTGGGGCTCCCTGCCAGGTTGGGCGGGGGCTGCTGCCGTGGGGCCAGGACTGTCCAGTCTGCCATGCTCTGAGAACCCGAAGCTGTGGACCTCTAGGGGGCTGTCCAGGATAGGGGGGCCCAGAGAGTCGGGTCCTGCAGGTGAGTCGGGGCTGAAAGGGTCCGGGCTGGCCCTGGAGGGCGGCTGCGGTGTGGGGCCGAGGCTTCCAGCCGTGCAGACGCTGACCTCGCTAAGCCAGGAGCTGACGGAGGAGCCACGACTGCCCCTGGCGGCCTGCAAGGTGTATGCGTCAAACTCGTCGTTGATGCTGCTGACGATGCTCACGGGCCTCGAACCCGAGGCCAGGGCCTGCAGGGAGCAGTTGCTGCCGAAGCTGGCCAGGCTGGCCGGACGCCCGGGGCCGGCGAGCCCGCCGAGGGACAGCTCTTCCACCACCGTGAACACCAGCTCATCCTCGCCATTCAGCTCCACCGGGTGCTGCAGGGTCACCGTGGTGGTCAGCAGGCCCCGCTCCAGACGGCCGCGTGCGGATGGGCGCAGGCGGTCCACCTGTCCGCTCATGCCCACTGGGGGTGTCCGGACCACGCCCTCGGTGCTCCCTCCCCTGGGCTCATCTGGGGCTCTGCCAGCTTCCGGCTGCCCAGGCGGCGGCGGGGCTGGGCTGGGCAGTGGCCTCCTGCCTCCGCCCGCCATGGCCTTGTCCAACACGAGCGGCTCTGCCCTGGTACTGCTGTCCTCCCTCTGGTCACTGCTGGCCTTGGAGGGCTCCGGGGCGCCTGGGTGGGCATCTAGGCCATGGCTGCCACGAGGTGTGCTGGCAGCTAGTGGGGCGCCCACAACGGTCCTGGAGGCCGTGGCCGCGGGCATACAGGGCTTCCTGCCCCCACAGGCTGAGCCGGCCAGGGCTCCGTCTGTACTGTGGATGCAGTCCAGCCGCTCCTGCAGCTCCGCGAACGTGCTACAGCGGAAGTGGTCAGCATCTCGAGGTCCCCGGGAGAGCGGGCAGCTCAGCGCTGGGATGATGGGCACAGAGTCGGGTGGGCCCTCGCTGTCCGTGAGCTCGCGGTCTGACAGCGCGGCTCCACCGGGCCCCACGTAGATGACTGTGTCGCAGGACTGCTCACTGCTGGATGAGTAGTCGGGGTCGCCAGGAGAGCTGGGGGCCAGGCGGTCAGGGTCCGGCGCCCCGGAGCGGGGGTGGAAGGGTCGCAGGGGTGGGGGACGGCGGGCACGGCCTTCCTCGCAGGAGCTGTCCCCGCCCGAGGAGCTGGATGCGTGCTGGCGGCAGAGCAGGCCCCAGAGCGTGAGCGCGGCCCCAGCCACCGCCTCCTCCCGCCCTGTCCCACCGCATCCCCCCAAGCACCCAACAGCACACGACACACTCCAGTGAAGGAAAGGGTGGCAGCAGCCAGCAGCCACCGCCGCCAAGCGCTGGGGCGGCACTAAAGGTCGCACTAAAGGAGCATCATGGGATCCTCTGAGCGACTTCCAAGAAAACGGCCAGGACCGAACCATGGAGGTGAGCACACACGTCCACATCTGCGAATCCAGGATCCAAACCCAGGTCCTGCTGACCCCGGGGAGTGCCCTGCTGGTCGGTGCCAGGGGACCAGGCCTGGGAAGGGCACAGGCCACGGGGATCCCGCCAAGCTGCCCGACCACCCGCCAAGGGCCCCCGGGAAGCAGCTCTTGTCTGATCAGGGTGTCCGGGTGACCTCGGGCAGGGCCAGGTGGGCACAGCCCCATGACCCCATGGCACACAGGGAGTCTGAGCAGGGCTGGGTGCCCAGCTACCCAACGATGCCAGGCGGGGGCCCTCAGGTGGGAGGGACGGGCAGGCGGTGGGACCAACCTTGAGCTTCTTCCTGCGCAGGCGGTGGACACGGGCGGCCAGCTGCACAGTGCTGAGCGTCTCGGCGTGGCGGGCCGGCTCATCCGACACGTGGGCGATCATGGTGGTGTGGCAGTTGGTGGTGGCCAGGGACTCCCGCAGCAGCATCGTGAGCCTGTGCTCCCTGGGGGCAGAGGGGGACCTCAGAGGCTGGGGGCCCAGGGAGGGGATGTCACGGTGGGGGCCTGGGTATGGGGGTGTGGGCTGCAAGGCTGGAGGGAGGCAGGCAGGCCTCTCACCTGGCCAGGGCCGTGCCATCCATGTCGGTCCCCCACCCCCTGAGCACTGAGACCCCCTCACCAGGCCTTTGGTAGCAAGGCTCCATGAGCTCAGGGGCCAGGCACACTGNGTGGTTTTTGTAAGAATTCCTGCCGTGGAAGAAGGCGCATGTGACTTGGCCTCAGCCCCGGGCACTGCCCTCCCATGTCCTCAGGACAGAGCAGGTCCTCGGGGCAGGAGGACCCTGCTGGCATGACCTGGGGACGGAGCTGCGCGCAGACCGAGGGTCCTGAGACCGTTAAGGCGGGCTCTGCCAAGAGGAGACCGCTGCGAAGGAAAAGCAATCCTGAATCCTGAAAGGGACCGGGCTGTTGGCTGCTGCTGCGGAAGCGGCTTGGCTGTAAAGACCCCGCCCATCACACAGCCGGCCCCACCCGCGGGCCCGGGCACACCTGCCAGCGTCTCGGGTCCTTAGCACCAAACACAAAAAGAAGAAGTCCAAGAAGTTCAGGTTAAAGGCACTTGCGTTGCCGTCTGGGTGGCGACAGTCACCTGTCTCGTGCACACTCACTCCCCCGTCACACCGCTCGGCCGGCCCCGCCCTCCTTCACGCTCCGTCACCACTGAGACCCGGTCCTGCACGGGACCCTCTGCCTCCTTTCCCTCCAACCCCCGCCACATCCTCACTCCATCCCACGTCCCATCCTCGCGCCCCTGCACGCCCCCTCCCCTGAGTCCTGGTGCCCAGCCTCAGACGTCCACCTCCTGCGGCCCTGGGATGGCAGCAGGGGCAGTGACACTGATGTCAAAGCAGGTGACCATCATGACGTGGGCCTTGCACAGGTTCACATGCTGCTCCAGGGCGGCCGTGGCACGTTCCAGGGCCACCAGGTACTCGGCCGACTCAGGCTCCAGCTCAGGGTCCACCTCGACTGCAGGGCGACAGCAGGCAGCGAGTCAGGCCCGGCCCTGCGGGGCCAAGGAAGTGCTTCTGTGCCCTCCCGGGTTCCGGGTCCCCATGGGGGCCGAGGTGAAGGGGCGTCCCGCCACACGGTACGGAGCTCCAGGACGGGGGCCGGGACACGTGTGGACTCGGGTTCCTGCAAGCCTGTGCCTCGGGGATGGGGGTCTCAGTGCTCCAGCCAGCAGAGGGGGTACTCACACTGCTCCAGCCAGCGGCCAGGCTCCACCATCAGCCGGCCCTGTGTCTCGGCCAGCTCCTCGCAGAGCAGCTCGTGCCGCGTCTGGATGTCCCGCAGCCTCTGCTGCCTGCGCTCAGCCAGCCTCAGCTTCGCACTGACGCACACCAGGCCCTGGACGGTAGGGGATGGGCAGGGCAGGCTCAGGCCCAAGGGCAGCCCCAGCCTTGGCCGCCCTCCCTCCACCCTCCAGGCCTGAGCAGGTGCATAATGGGGCCTCAAATATGGGCAGGGGTAGNGGGCCCAACTCCCGCTCCGAAAGCTCCAGGCTGTTCTGCTGGCTCCTGGAAACCCCAGGTGGGGGTCGCCATGCTCCTCCACCCACGTAAGGCCCAGGGAGGCGAGGTGGGGCCAGGACTCTGAACCCCAACACCTGGGAGCCGGGCTGGGGGGCAGCTCTCGGGCCAGCAGGCCAGGTGCGGAGCTCCTACCCCACCCGCCTGCCTACCCACCGTTGCTTTGGTTGTTCCGAGTCACCCACTGGGCCACGTAAGCCCCCGTCCCTGGTCACCCAGCCCAGCCTGACCCACACCCGGTGCCCCCTCCCCATGTGGCCTCCGGGTGCCCAGAGCAGGGGTGGGCAGAGTGGCAGAGCAGGCCTGGACTCGCAGACTGAGTCAGGCGGGCACCTCACCCAGAGGAGCAGGCTGGCCGCGTGCCAGCCCGGCCTTGGAGGCCGAGAGATGCCGCCTGGGCGGGCTCACGCCCTTGGCCCTGCACAGCCCACGTGGGTGCCCAGCGTCCTCCCTCCATAGGAAGCCTGGCCCTCCTCAGAGGAGACACACTTGAGCGGGGCTGGAGCAGAGCCTGACTGTTTGGGGTCTCAGTTTCCCCAAGAGTTCAATAGCAGAAGGCTCCAGGCTTGTTGAGGACGGCATCACATGGGGGCTGCCTCAGCTTTGGCCAAACGCTGGGTCCCGGGCTGCGGCCGCTTTCCCATCCATAAAATGGGCCTCCTGGTCCTCACAGCAGCTCCCAGCTGGGTTCCCAGCCACTAATGACAGGGCTGAGCCCTTTGATGTCCCAGATGAAAGGCGGCCCAGGCTCCCAGGCTGGCCTAGGACAGGGGTTNCCCACCCCCACTCAGCCACTGAGTTCCGTGGCCATGAGGGGACCCAGGCAGCCCCCAAGGGCCCCACCACTGCTCCAGTCTCCCAGTCTCCAGGGCTGCTCAGACGTGAGGAGGGGATCCCTGCTGCAGGGACTCCCCTCTGCTCAGGGAGCTCCGGGAGAGCGCTCCCTCCACCTGCCGTTCTGAGACTGCGCGGCCCCCCCATTCCCCCCCCATCCCCCCCCACCAGGCCTCAGCCCTCACAGAGGGTTGGAACCCCCAGTGCTGATGGCCCAGGCCTAGGGACACGTGGTATCAAGTGGGAGCCTGGTGAGGACAGGGTGAGGCTGCTGACAGGCAGCAGAAAGGCCAGGCTAGACTGGGCGGGGACAGTGTCTGACGTGGGACGTCCGTTCCCAGCGGGGCCACCCGGGGAGGGCACAGGGGCCGCCATGCAGCCCACGAGGTGTTTAGAAATGACTGGCCAACCGCAAGGGCTCCCAGTAGCCAAAGCTGGAATGATTTTAGTGACAAAATGAAGTAGTATTGGATTATAACTCCAAGTATAAAATAAATATCCACCAGTCAGTACTGATGGGAATAGTGATAGAATAATCAACAGATGGGAGACAAGAGCAGGCTTCTCGTGCAGGACCCCAGTAATCTGTATGGGTATCCCACCCATCCCGTGTGGGTCCTGGGGGGACCGTGGGCCAGAAGGGGGCCAGGGGGAAATCTGCATAGAATAGGGGTTTCAGCAGGGAACTGGCTGCAGGGAGCATGGGAACTGCATTNCCCCCGCGGGATGGCAGCAGTACCTGTGCCCCACAGACGGGGTCCTCCCGCAGATACACGCCGGGAGACTGGGCGTCCTGGAGGCTGCCAGAGGCCACCTCGGCCAGCAGATCCCGCAGGCCCTGGTCCTGGCCGCACACCTCCACGGCTGAGACGCGGACCGAGAAGCGGGTGCCTGTCCTCTCCTTGCGCTCGTCGATGAGCCTGAAGAGCCAGGAGATGGCGCAGGGCACGACGCCCAGGCTCTGGGGCGAGCTGTCTGTCCCGATCATGGTGTAAGACTTGCCTGGGGGCCACGCCAGTGTGTCAGGACCCATCCCGAGCTCAGCTTCACCAGCCTCACAGCCCAGCCAGACTGTGTGGCCGCCTCCCTGGCCCTGCCACTGAGACCCCAGGGGCCACCTCTGACCTGCTCTGAAGCCCCTGCCTTCCAGGCCTGCAGGGTTTCGGCTCCCCCAACCCCATGTGCCCACTGACGGCCCATGTGGAATATGCCCCCATCCCCTCCCCACCCGGAAACGGGACCCAGTGACTACACAGTGGATGACGGGGAGCACATACCAAGGCTCATGTGGCCAAAGGAAAACACACATCCGTCAGCCCCACTGACCACTGACTGGAGCACATCGGCCACCGTCCCGGAGCAGACCTCGGCCTGGGGGAGGGGCACAGAGACATGCAGGCACCAGGGTGAAGGCAGCTGTCACCCAGCCTCCCACCACAAGGCAGCCTGGCCGGAACTCCAGGACCAAGGGCATGGAGAGCTCAACACGCACAGAGCACACACACGAACAGGACAGGCACACGCGTGCACACCCAATTCACACATCACGGACACGGCACACGTGTGGTCACGGCATGCACAGGATGCACACCCGGGGTCAGACACCCGACGGGTCAGGCAGCCCCTGCAGAGGGTCAGCTCTTCCTCGGGAACCAGGCCTGAGAGCCAGGCCAGGAGCCAGTGGACACACCCGAGGGCCGGGCCCATGAGGAAGGGGACACGGCGGCCCGCCCTAGGCTGTGCCCAACCCGCCTGCCTGGGCTACGGGTTCTCGCTGGCTCCTTTCTGCTCACCTGTGCAGAAGCACACAGGTATGACCCCATGGCCCCGGCCCCCAGGACACCCCTCACCTGCTCTGAGTCCTGGGGGAAGACCCCATCAAAGGTGAACAGCCTGGGGACCAAGGCGGTGGCGCTGCGTCGGGGACCCACGCTGCCCGGGGGCCCGGCAGCCGGGTCATAGAGGGTCACCTGCTTCTTCCGTGGTTCCACCTTCAGGAAGGACGTGGACTCGCCTGAGCGCTGAGCCCCCTGGGCCGGCCAGACCCGCAGCATGACCTTCACCTAGGGAGGCGGGCGGGAACGGGCACCTGAGCAACCGGCCACCCAGCCGGCCGCTAATTACAGGGCAGGGGGAGCCCCGCGCGGTTGGAGCAGCAGGCCAGGCCTCAGCGTGGGGATCCCCGCCGCAGGAATGCAAACACCCGCGCCCCTGCTCTGGGCCAGTGGGTCCCGTATGAGGTCAGCGAGGCGGGCAGAAAGCGAGCTGGCCAGAGGAGAGCCTGGCCAACGCAGGGCAAGTCAGCACGGACTGGACAGGGCGAAGGACAGACGGAGGACGGGGTCGGGGAGGGGAGGGCAGGATGGGGGAGCACAAGCAGGGGGGATGCAGGGAAGCAACAGGGCAGGGGGTACACAGGACGAGGAGGGGGCGGCCAGGACAGGGGGCCAGGCTCTAAATGCCCCAATGGGCAGAGAGACACAAGTATGGGGACGGTGCCTAAGTGCCCCTTCCTGCCCTCAATTTGGGGTTCCTCCATACCCTCACACTGACTGGAAGAGCGGGGTATCCAGGGACCTGAGCCCAGAGGCCCAGAACGGGAGCCCCCACAAGCACCCACAGCTCTGCCAGCTTCCCTGGAGAGCAGCCCCACCCCTAGGGAGGGACTGGGGCTGGGACCACAGAGACAGAGCAGCTAAGAGGGGAAGGCAGCCCCCTAACGTCTCAGTGCAGCCTCACGGCCTCCAGGGGCCCCTCCTCCCAGTTCCCAGCCCTGGGCCAGAGCGGAGGTAGCTGGATATGTGACAACATGCCCCAAAAGGGGGACAGGCCTGGGGCAGATGCCCCAGGAAAAGGGGGGCTGGTGCTGAACTCAAACCCGCGAACTGGCAGGATTCAGGTCAGCAGGGGAAATCTTTCAGAATGACAAACTGGGGAGGAAGAGAGCCCTGAAATCCAGGGGTGGGACGGACTGAGGCGGGGCAGGGAGGGAATAGGGCAGGTGACCAGGTAGCCTCTGCTCAGTGTGTCCCCAAAGCACCAAAACAGACACAAAAAAAACGTGTCCCCCATGCTGGAAACTCAGCTTCCTGGAGGCTGGTCCAGCCCAACCCCCCAACCTTCAGGACACAGGAGGCTCAGCAGGGACAGGGGCTTGGGACCAAGACGCCACCAAACCTGCACCAAAACAAACCCCCCAGACAGTGCCTCTTGTGCAGTCATGGTGCAGGTCCTGATGGGGGGAGCCACGCTGAAACAGGGCGCCTCCTGGGAGAAGGCACCAGACTGGGTTTCTGTTGGAGGGCACCTCGGCCGCTCTCCAATGAGACCTCCAATGTCTCCACCACAGTGGAAATCAAATTACCAGACTCATCTCAGAGCCAAGATTTTTTGCGGACTTAATTGTAAGTGACAGATACATAACGCCGGCAAAATTGGTTTATAGTGGGTAGATTGCAGGGAGGGCGCCATCTCCTCCCAGCGAACACACAGACGTGTAAAACCTGGCGAGCGAGAGGTGCGTCCGCGGGGAGCACAGAGCACTTTCCAACTGCGCCCTGCGCCTCTACCCAGGCTCCATTAGGCAAGGATCGATGGCTTTATTTCCCGATGACATGAACAAGGCTATTTCATTTCCAAACGCCATTGCCAAGCCCATGAAATGGGTGCTTCCCAGTCATTTTTGGCAATTTTTTTCAGCATAAACTCCTGGCTGCTTCAGGAACCAAATGAGTTCAGCAGCCTGGAGAGGATTCCTAGCAGGGAGGGGACAGGCCCTCTGTGGGGACAAGGGCTGTCCAGTCTGCAGCAGCCCGGCTAAATGCATGGGCCATTGTCTGAGAGAATCCTGTCATTGCCGCGGGGAAATACAGGCGGCAAAGTCTGTCCCCTAAATGTTCAGATATTACAAAGCCCCACTGAATAGCTGCCAGGTAGGAAAAAAACACATTTTGCATAAAAAAGGGCTTCCACTCGTAAGAGGTGGCCCAGGCGCCAGGGGGAGGGGCGCTTGGCACCCACCACGATGGGGATGTCTTTTTACTACTGCAAGATGATGAATTATCTTAAGTAGCACATTAATGTCAGGAATCCAGCGTAATCTAACTTCTTTTCTGTGACAATATTAAATGCCTTTCAGGAGGCATTTCTGACTGTGAGGCATTTGTGCAAATAAAGTGGGGGGGAGGGGGCCTTGAGGGGAGTAGCGAGAGAACTAAGCTGTGGCCAGGGTGCCTGGCCTCAAGGACTCAAGGACAGAGCACAGGTGGACAGTCTGCTCCGGAGCAGGGTCGAATTCCTGGGTGGGGGCCTGGCCCTGGGAGGAGGTGGTGGGGACCTGCTGGTATCCCAAGTAACACAGGGGTGGCACAAAACGGCGGTGTATGCTGCAGACTGAACCCCCAGCTGTCCACCCAGGACACCAGCACTGCCCCACCCCCACTCATCTGTAGCCTGAGAAGCGTAGAGCAACAGACAGGCCAAGTGACCAGGCCAAGGTCAGAGTCTGACCCAGAGTTGTTGAGAGCCCCTCCCCCACAGCCAGTTTGCTCTGTCTGGGCTGCAGTGTCCTCCCACTGGCCCAGGCGGGGCTGAGATCCCCACTCTAGCAAGCCCTGGGGAACACCGAGGCGATGGCCCCATGGGCACAGAGAGTCCACCTCACTTCGTGGGCTGATGAACACGCGTGTGCTCGCGGATCCCGGTTCAGGCGCAGTTACCAGCAACCCGAATGGGGCCAGGGTGGACACCCGGTCTCCAGGAAAGGACGCAGGAGCCAGAGGTCAGAGCCAGGGGTGGCCAGGAGCCAGCTGGCCTGTTCCATGACCGGACAAGGCCATTCTCCCCAGTGGGCTTCAGTCTCCCCATCTGAACCCCTGCTGACCGCCCCTTGTCCAACCTGGGAGAAGGAAGCAGGCGCCTCCATCTCCCCCACACCCTCTCCCCGCACCTGCTTAGACACGCCTGGCTTTATCCCTCCCCTGGAGGTCACCCCCAAATCAGGGCCGGGCCTACCTTTCCGACACTGCTGGGGTTATCCTTGACCTTGGAGGCAGCCCTGAGCAAGCAGGGGGGTGCGGGAGGGGGCCACAGCTGCAGGACCCCACTGAAGTCCGTGGGGTAGGTGGAGGTGCCACGGGTGGCAGGGGCTGGCGGAGGGTGGGGCTTCTTGCGCTTGGAGGCCAGGCTGAGCTTCTGGGCGGCCCTGTAGAGGGGAAGAAAGGGGAGTAGGTGTTGGGGGGTGGTCACCACTGTCCCTGTCACCCTCCTGCATAAACACAGCTGTACAGCCCAGACTTAATTTCTCCCCAGCCAAGCAGGGGGCCCCCCGGGCTGGGACTGCTGTGCCTAGTCCCTGGAGGCTCTGCCCAATGCAGACCAGGCCGGGTGACAGACAGGTAGAGCAGGGACCCCCGTGCCCCACCCACACCTGCACTGAGTGCCTCCTCTTCCCACAAACCTCCACCTGCCATGTGCCCAATCCAGCAGCTGCTGTGGGGGTTGGGACATGCTAGCCACTCCCAGGGGACCCAGGCATGCTGATGTCGTCTCTCCATGCCTCAGTTTCCCCATCCCTAACACGGGGGGATGTGAGCAGATGCCCCATGTGCAGCTCTGAAGAGTCAATGCACTCAAGGCACCCAGCTCAGTGCCAGCATACAGGAGGAGCTCAGTACGTGCATACAGGAGGAACTCGGTACGTGCATACAGGAGGAGCTCAGTACTTGCATACAGGAGGAGCTCAGTACATGCAGACAGGAAGAGCTCAGAGCTGGCATACAGGAGGAACTCAGTACATGCAGGGCTGTGTCACCACGCCCCCGCATAACTCGGTGCCCTCCCCAAGGCCCCAGAGCCTACTGGAGATGCCACCCTGCTGCCTCAGCCTCCAGCAAACCCTGACTGTCCCTCCCCACTTCACCACCTCCTCAGCCTGCACTCAGCCCTGCGCCACATGGCCCTGCCAACCCCGGGCTTCCCCAGGGACCCTGCAGAGGTGAAGACGCCCAGACCTCCTGGGGTTGAACCAGCCTCTAGGGAACGGAATACTGGTGTACATTTGAGAACTACTCTCGGGACTCCAAGGGGACCCTACACACAGACACACACACAGACAGACACACACACACACACACACACACACACACACGCCCACCACACTCCTGGGCCACAGCCCTCCAGCCCACCTTCCAGCTGCACCAAGTTAGAGTCACTCAGCATGCACCCCCCCCAGTCTCTCTCTTACACTGTGGGTCACCCCACACCTCCAGCACAGGTGCCAGCAGGTGGCACAGATGTGAAAGAACACACACTGGGTCGGGGTCCAAGTTCACACTCCTCCCCAGTGCCCAGGGCGCCCCAGCTGCCCGTCTCTCCTGCACCCTACAGAGCGCACCCTCCTTCCCACAAAGCCCCCTCTCCGCCAACTCTGTCCTCCTCAGGCCTTGCCAGCCCCCACTCGGGAGAGCTACGCCTAGGCCCACGCCGGCCATTTGCTCGATGCCTCTCATCTTTAATAGGAGTTGTCTTTTAAGAGGCCCCAGGGACGGCTTTCCTCCTAGTGAGGTGTCATCGCGGAAAATAAAAGTAATCTACGACGCCTGGAGGAGCCTTCATAGAGCCGTGGCAGGAGCCGCTGGGGGGCGCCAGGGCAGGCGGGTGGGGGCACGGTCCGGGAGCGGACCCCACGAGCTGCCCGGACAACACGGGCGCCCTCAGCCACAAGCAGACATTAACCTGATTCCCGCCCGAGCCCTGCATTTATAAACCTCAAAGCCTCCCGCACGCGGAACAGCCCCTCGTCCCCCTCGGCCTGAGGATGACACAACGCAGCTCGGGCAGAACGGACGCTACCAGCATGGCCTGAGCACAGGGTGACAGCCAGGGCAGGGGGGCGCTGAGGGCAGGGCACAGCTGCACCCACAACTGCAGTGTGACAGTCATGGTCACAAAGCAGCTGCCGCGCAGGGCGGGACCAGGGAGGCCCGGGCAGGGGCTGGGGGGTCCCGGCCATCACCTCAGAGCCTCGGCTCCTGGGCTGCCGCTGCCCCAGCCTGGCCTCCTTCTGGGACCCCCGCGCACCGTGGGTTATGCCATAGCTCCCCGCCAGCCATCAGGGGGAGAAGCTGCAGCAAGACAGCAGGACATCAGTGTCGAGCAGCGGGCCCGCCCCAGCGGCCTGGCACTGCCCGGGTGGAGCCTGCAGGAGCCCACGGCGGCCCCCCGCCCACCTGGGCGGTGCGGGGTAGGGCGGGCGGGTTGGGGAAGAACGGAGGCTGGGCCTGGGCCTGGCTGGTCTGGAAACATCAAGGGGCCCCATGGACTCGTTTTCCATCTGTGAATGGGGACAGAGGTGCCTGTTCCGGGGTTTCGGGAAAGCACAGTACACAGGGCTGACCAGGCCCCGGCAGAAGTTGGCTCAGCTCCCAGGTGGACAGGACAGGCCTACCGAGGCAGTGGCGTGTCCCCCAACCCCAAAGCCGGCTCACTGCCCCTCCCTGGGCTGGGCACGCTCAGCTGCGACCCTCACGCTGTTGGTGGGGAGAGCATTCTGACCCACAACTCCAAGCCTCAAGGGGATGTGGAGGCCGGGAGGACACCTGGTGAGGCACTGGAGTGACACTGGGCTGGAGCCTCTGGTCTGCAGAGGCCAGACCAGAGGGCGGGGCTGTGTCCCATGGGAGCACATGAGGCCACAGAGCGTTGGGCAGCACAGACCTCAGCCCCACCCAAGCCACCTTGGGGCCCCACCTGTGGGGCACAGAGAGGTGTCCAGGTTGCTCCAGGACAGAGCAGGGCCTGTGTCCTCTGAGGTCCCACCAGCCCAGCAGTCTGGGATGTTATTGGCCAGGCATCTCCACCCCACGTGTGACCTAACACGGATACCCTCTCCTCCCCACCCCGCCCCGTCATGGGCCCAGCCTGAGGGCTGGGAGCTGAGCAGCTGTACCCCAGTCCACCCAACCCCTGGGTCCCTGTTCTCACAGGCTGGCCTCACCGGCATGACTCAAAGGCACGTCATTGCATTAACAAGGCCCCAGGACGGGCGCGCTCTCCTTTGATGAAATCCAGGCCCCCATAAACTGGGACAAGCCCGTCAGCCACTTGGCTAGTGCACCTCGGCTGACACAGCCCAGTGGGGCGGGCTTCTGGGGGCCATGCCTGCTCTGCCCTCTAGGCAGCGTTTGGGGGGTCAGACCTGGTTTTGGAGCAGTGGGGGTGAAGATAGTGTGTGGGAGGGTGACCCGGGGCCTCACAGAGACTAAGAACACACAGCACCATCCTCAGGACTGTGAATGCTCACGGTATAGTTGGGGAGTGTGGGACCCAAGGTAGGACCTACAGGGGTGAGGCATGCTGGGAGGAGGGACATGTAGGGGGAGTGTGGGCAAGTCTGAGGGGTCTGGCTCTGATGGGAAGACTTGGAAAAGCAGAAACTTCACCAGCATACAGGGCCCCCTCATCCTCATAGGACACCACCTCCAGGAAGCCTGCCCTGATGCCCCCAAGCTGGGCTTCCCCAGACCCTGTGCCTCCTGCTACAGGAACTCTCCCTGCTCTGAGACACAGGTTTACAGGCTGTGCCCCACCAGGCAGGGGCTCTGGAGGGCACGTGGTTGCCAAGCTCAGGCCTGGAACACACAGGAAGCTCAGGACACGACCAAGAGCGAACGAGTGAGTGCGTGTGTGAATGGGCTCCAGGAATGTCCTCCAGCCCTCTCACTGCAATCCCAGAGGCCGTTCCCAGGCGCGCCGGCCCTGGACATTGATTCATGTAAACGGGAAGAGGAATATTTTGCCTTTTTACAAAGAAAAATTGCCTCTTCCAAATAAGAAGGTAATTTCACAAGCAGTTGGCCTTGACAGCAAGGCCCTTAATTATCCTGAGACACACAGTCCTGTTCAGACGTGTGTGGGGTCAGTTACGGCCAACCCAGGGCTTCCTAACGGCGGTGTGTGTGTGGGGGGGCTGGTGGGCCAGGCTGTACCCCACGCTCCCACCTGCATCCACCCGGGAGGGCTGCTACCCACAAGCCCTGAGAGCCACAGGATCTGCCCATCGAGGGTCCAGGGGTGCGGGGCTGCTAAGGGAACCTGAGACCCCTAAGGCCAGTACCCCTGACCTTCCCCCTGCCACGGCTGGCACATTCCAGGTCACCCAGAGGCCGTGTGGCTTCCTCAGCCCCAGGCTGCAGGTGAGGGGCAGCCCTCCCCAGAGCCCTTGTGCTCCAGGCGCCCAGCCAGAGCTGCCTGGGTGCCTCTGGGCAGCACCCACTCTGGTTCGGGACCTCTGCTACGTGCCAGGCCTGACCTTCTCCAGACAGACACTGGGGAGAGAGTTCAACAGGCTGCAATGGGGCGGGGAGGGGACCTATGAGAGCAGTGGGGTGTCCTGATGCCCAAAGGAAACCCCACCCTACCCCATACCTACTGAGGAGACCCCCAGTTCTTCAGAAGGCACCAAGATTCAGGGGTCTGGGAAGTGAGCCCCAGAAAAGCTCAGAGAGCGGGCGGGAGAGAGCGCTAAGCAGGCATCTCAGAGGAGGGGAGCCTGCAGAGACGGGAGGACAGGGTGCGACAGGCGGGAGCAGAGCGTGACGGCTCAGAAGGGAGCGCCAAGGTCACCACAGCCTCCAGAGAAAATGAGCCTTGGCCTTTTCAGAGTTCTGGTGGGTGGGGGCGGGGGGCTGGCGCACCGAGCTCTCCGTTACAGCTGTGGCCGCCCCAGACCAAGCTGAGGGGTGCAGGGCACCAGGTCTCACTCCTGTGCTCCATGCCCCACAGGTGCTAATGAGACCCTGGGTACCAGGCACCCACGATACACTCTCCACCTCGGCCTCCTCGCACAGGGGTGGGAGCTCAGAGTCCTTGACAGGACCCAGGACTAGTGCCAGCCCCCAGACAGTACTTAGGGACCGGGGGAGAACCCAGACTCCTAACCCCCATGCCCTTCTGCCTCCCCTTGGCAAACAAAACGCCAGACTCCTACTCAACCCTCAAAGCCCACCTCTGCGGCACACAGCACTGTGTTCTGCTCCGTCACGGCTTCCATGCTGCCACCAACGGCTGCCTCCATAGATGCCCTCCCCACCAGCGGGAAACTTCCAGGGGGAGGTCATGGGCTGGGGTCAGCTTCGCCCTCTAGATCCCAGCAGGGGTGGTGGTGGGAGCACAGAGCACAGCTCAGTGCATGCCTGAGGCCCCCCCGCCGGGGTGGAGTCCAGCAGCTCCATGTCTCCTGGAGACTCTGGACAAACCCCTTCCCTCTCTGAGGCACAGGCCCCCGAAAAACAAGGAAGTATGTACAGCTGCAGAGCACCCCATCTCAGCGGATGGTTAAGGGTGCTACAACCCCAAAAAGCAGAGGGTCTCAGGCCCAAGTCAGGCAGAGGTTGGGATGCTGTTCCAAGCTGGGGCAACCCCCCCCCCAACTTGACCCATACCCTTCAAACAGCCACTGTGATTTGGAGCGTCCAACAGGCTGGATAATAGCCGTCGGCAGTGCCCCCCCACCATCCCCGGAAAACATGCCTCCCCTGTCCCCAGCCTAATGTGCCTGTTTCTATGGTAACTCCCCAAGGTCAGCAGCAGCCTTGCCAGACAAAAGGCAGCGGGTGTGCTCAGTGGGGTGGGGGTGGGGGGGCACAGAGTGGCTGATGAGTCCATGTGGCCCTCAGAACCCGGGACCACCAGTGCTCTAGTTTTCCTTTTCATAAGGTTTCAGGCTTGGCCCTCCCGAAACCGCGGCCTAAAGCAGAGTGTCCACTGCCCGGGCAGAGACTAACAGGGCAAGACATTCTCAGCCACCCTGTCTACCTCTCCCATCCCCCACACAGGGCTCTTGAGCCAGCTGGGCAGACCCCCACCCACCCCGCAGACAGAGGGTCCCTGCCGGGCTCTCTGCACCTGACTGGGGCAGTGGGTCCCACGGGGCTGGAACACTGCTCACCAGCCCAGGGCCCCGACAACACCCCCATCACACACTCCGCCTGCCGCTCCCCAGCCAGGCTGCGCAGGCCTCCAGGCCCGCTGATAAGGCGCCTGTCCTGCACCCATGCATGGTTCTCGGCCGAGCGATCAGCGCTCGCGGGGCTACTGACGGGACAGTGACCATGGCCAGGCATGCCGTTACCACTTATTACCACCATCACAGCTTGTAATACACAGAATGAGATCTGGCCTCGGGTCTGCAGAACACCAGGGCCCTGCCAGGAGGGGCTCAGGCAGGACTGCTCCCCAGCTCTGCTTCCACACACCTTGGGTCACGCGCTGGCCGGGCCAGATAGGCCTTGTCCACACCAGCGACATCCCCAGGACCTCGTACCTTCAGGGCCGTGACCAGACCTCCTGGGCACCCAGAGAGCAAACCCCAGGCTCCACTCACTCCCACACAGGGGAGCTCCTGGCTGACGGTGGAGCCAGACCTAACAACTGCTGAGTACAGCCAGCTGTGGAAGGTGCCAGCAGCCGCCCAGGCGAGGAAGGGCTACAGTGGGGTCTGGGTGAGCCAGCCCTCCAGGACACGCTCCCTCGTTCACCCCAACCTCCTCCGCAACTCAGAAACGCTCCCAGGGGAGCTGCCCTAGGCCTACATCAGTCTTCCGTCTGGCCCCCACCCATGCTGGCCCAGGACAGCCCCCAGGATGCCCACCGCTGAGTGTCTGGTGCTGCACAGACGTTAGCTCCCTGCACCTCAGGCAATTCTGAAGAATGCAGGATCTGATAGGTAAGGAAACTGGGCCCAGAGAGATTATGTGACTTGCCCAAGGTTGCACAGCTTGGAAGGGGCAGAGACCAGTCTCTTGGTTGCATCCCAATCTTGGGGCAAGAGGCTTCTACTAGGCCCCACCGTCAACAGAGCGCCCTGGTAGGTTGGCAGCAGCGGCCCCCACAGGCCTCCTTCCACTCGACTCAGGAGCACTGAGGCCACAGATCCCCAGGGAGGCCCCCAGACCAGCGGGTCCAGGAGCCGAAGTCCACCCCCAAATGTTCTTGTCCAAGCTGCCCCGGCACACCTAGGTCCTGTGTGAAGACCCAGGGGGACGTACCTGACGAAGAAGGAGGCTGCGGCCGATGGGCCCGTGGAGCCTCCTGCCGGGGTGCCCGGGGCCGGGGTGACCAGGGCCGCTGTGCAGGCCCCACTGCGGCCCCACATCTGTGACACACCATCGGGGCCCACGGTGGGGGGGCCGTCTCGGACTGTGTCTGCCACTGCCACCGCGGCCACCGCAGCTTCAGCCTGCAGAGAAGGAAGGAGCCACGTGAGGGACAGACGCCCGCTGCCTCAGGCACCTGCCCACCCCAGAGCCCCGCATGCTCCCTGGGCCCCGCGGGACAGGACCCTGCCAGCGTGGGGCGCGGGGCGGTCTGCCCAGGCAGGGCCCCATGGGGGAGAGGGGGACACAGATGCTTGCCCTGGGGCCTGACTTTCCAGCCCCTCCCCCATCAAGTCCCAGAAATGCAGTGACCGCAGTGGTCAGGAGAGATGGACAAAGACCCCTCACCCCAGGGCCATCAGTCTGGCAGCAACCAGAGGCATAACTGGAGAAGAAACCACAGTAAATACTTGTCACAGTGCTAACTGCCCCGCGTGTGATAGGTATGATGTTCCCATCGTCTGAAATACTACCCTGGCATTTCCCACTAATTAGCTAAAATAAATCCCAGAGAGGAGGGCAGCCTCGTAATGAGGCACAAATGTAATTACGTGTTCCCAGGACGGCGCCAGCAAACCGGAGACCTGGCCACCGCGCGTGACATTTATGTGCACATGTCCGGCCCTGGACCCCCAGGCCAGACCCGGCCCGGGGGCAGGGGGGGGGGGGGGGAGGCGGCTGGATGTGGCCCCTGGCAGGGCAGGGGAGCAGCCTGCTTCAGCCCAGCCCCTTCCCCAAGGGCCCCCGCAACGCAGCCTTCCAGGCTCCCCAGACTCCGCGGCCTGGCCCAGTGCTGTCAGCAGCCACTGCCCGAGGCGCCCTCTGTGAGGACCTAGCAGGGACCGCGGGTAGGATCCCAGGTGGCAGCCATGTTCTGGAGGGCCCAGCATTCTCCCAAGTGACACAGACTCAGGGCCTCCCAAGTGACACAGTCAGAGGCCAGGAAGGCACTTGAGCAGAAAAAGCCACACGGGCCCCAGGGGGAATGTTCTGGAAGTGGGTCCTGCCATCTCAGGGCAGCACTGCTCCTCACCATGGCAGAGGGTCTCACCCCACACAGCCCGTGGTCAGCACCAGCTTCCAAACCCCTCTTGCAACACAGAAAAAGCACGTTGGTAAAGAAGTTCACAGGGATCCCCAAACCGTAGGCTGGATGGAAGCCAAACACCCCCTCCCCCAGCCCCCAGGTCATCGGCTGCTCCCCCAGGGCTGCAAGAAGGTCGGTAGCAGGGAAGTGCCCTCACCGGGAACTGTGCCAGCACGCCAGGACCTGCTACCTGCCTTGCCTCTGCCCACAGGGCAGGAACTCCTGTGCATCCCTCAGAACCCAGCCTTGCACCCGCCCCAGCCTGCCCTGTGCCCGCCCCAGCCCTCTGACCTCTCCTTGCGCCCCCACCCCATCTGTCCAGTGCTCCTCACCCAGAGTAACCGTGCCATGCTCAGCTACCCAGCACCCTATTCTCCCACTCCCCCAGCTTTCAGCACCTGTGCCTACTGAGGGCCCGGTGTCCTGCATATCCCTGTGTCTGGCACATAGTAGGTGTTCAATAAACCTATTCTCCAGGAGCACATGGCCTGGTGGGGACACAGACCTGAGACAGACCCAGCCCATGGCTGGGAGGTGAGCCGTGTGCCAGAGTGGGCACCAGTTCACGGGGAACGTTCCAGAAGGAGGGTCAGCCAGGCCTATACCTGGGCAATCAGAACCGGAAGCGGCTTTTCCTGGGCTGCAGGCGCTCCAGGCACACAGGTGAGTGCTCCAGGGCCGGCCCGACGTCTGCCGTTCCCCCGCGATCTTACAGGCGCACGGTATTTTATTTCCCTCACCTCGAACAAGAAATCCTTTTTTATCACCTAACACACGTGCTCCCTACGAAAGCTCTAAACTCCTTTGTCGAGTCGAGTGGTGCAAAGAATTCATTTTAAAGTCACATCACATCGATGTCATCATCACCAGGGCCTGCCCAGGGCAGGGCTGGGCCTGCTGAGACCTGCCATGTGCTCAGTCAGCAGCCCAGGCTGTAGTCCCCACGCTGGCTCCAACCAGCCCACGGGTCGGCCGGCTCACACTGTCCACTGAGACACCCTGACAGTGGGCAGAGGGCTGCACCCGCTCTCCACCCTGCCCCGGACCCAGCCGCCCCACCAGCTCACGCCCACACCTCGCCTCCAGCCGGCGATGGCGCAGGCCTCCCAGCAAACCTGCGGCAGCCAAGCCCCCACACTGACCTGTCTCGGGCGTCCCGCACAGGCCTCGGCTCCACCGTCCCACGAGCTGCCGAGACACGGCTCCGACCACCGGGACGGCCGCTGCCGACTCCTGACAGAAGCAGAACCCGGGCATGCCAAAAGAAGCCAGGGGGACGGGAGGGGGCGGCAGGCGGGGAGAGCACAACACAGGGACGAGAGGACATGGGGCGAGCGGCGGGCGGGCGGCCCAACAGAAAATGTGATGGAGGCGCCAGGGCAGCAACGAAAGAGAAGCATGAGGAGAGGAGAGCGTGAGGCCGCCGCCCCGGAGGCGCCTGCCTGGCGGAGGGCTCTTGCTGCAGCCACACGGGACTGGCCTCAGACGGCGCCCACTCTGGGGCACTGGGGCTCCACGAAGCACCATTCGGGAAACACCAAACCACCCCACTTTCCTAGGGACCCTACAGGCCTGAACTCCACCTCGGTCAGATTCTGGCCTGGGGGGGTACAGCATGCACCAGCGCCTCGGGATAAATAACCTCCCTGGGGGGCCATTTTGTGCCAAGAGCTGGGGAGAGTGCGGGGGCGGGGGGCTGAGGGGTGGCCAGGCTGAGTCTGGAAGAGTGTCAATCTGCCAGGGGCGTGGCTGCCACGGCTCAGTGGGTATGTGCCGCACACCAGTGCCCCGGTGGGGCAGACCCAGCTGCCCCTCGGAGCTCTGCCTAGTCGCCCAGAGGATCCCGGGCTGGGATTGTCCCATCCGCATGTCACAGAACCAGCTTTGCCACAGCCTCACATGGGAGGGCCATCCTGTCCAACCTCCACCCCACGGTGTGTAAACTGAGGCCCAGAGGGGGTACCAACAATGGGTCAGGTTAGACCAAACAAATCTCCATCCAGACCCCACCCTCCCAGCCACATCCCTGAGGACCCCACCAGGGCTCACAGGAGGTGGGGGAGGCAAGCAGGAGCGACGCCCCAGCCTGTGCCCCCCAACCTCTGTGAATAGAGGAAACCCTGGCCCCTTCCAAGCCTCCATCAAAACGGCCTCGCCTCCCACTCTGCACACCCCAGGGGCATGCCACGCCTCCTCCAGGAAGCCCTCCACCCTCCCCACCCAGGCCAGGGCTTCACTGCCCCAGGCCCCATGGCTGACTGAGAACCCTCTGCTCCGGTTCTCTCTAGACTGTGAGCTCTGAGACCCTGGGTAAGGCCTGCCCTGTGTCCACAGGACTCGGGAAGGTTTGCACAGGCCCCACTGGCCTAGGCCCAAGGCAGCAGCACCATTCACCGTGTCACCGAGCCTCGTCCCTGGCCGCCCCAGTCTGGGCTTCCTCTAGCCAGCTGTGGAGTCAGGAGGCCAAAGCCCCGGTCTCCTGGCATCTGGCTGTCAAATGAGTGTGCCCTGAGCGTCTGACTAGCACTCTCTTAGCATGCGGAAGGCACGCTGTGGTTCACAGCCGTGTCCCAGGGGAGCAGGCGGGGGCAGGGGGTCTGGGGTGGCCCCACAGCTGTTGCCCAGCATTGTCAGGGCTGCCAGGGTGGGAGGCGGGCCAGAGTCCAGCTCCCATGGGCACCCGACACGGGAAAGCAACTGCCAGACTGTCCCGCTGGGCGGCCCCACCACCAGGAAGCTCTACCAGACACTCGGGAAGTGGAATGACCCGGAAAGGGCCGAGCTCTGTGCTCTCGGGCACAGGAAGTAGGCTGCCGTTTTGATGACCGCCGGCTGAGGGCAGCTCCTTCCAGACAGAGCTCTCCAGGCGGCCACACCCACAGCATGACCCCCAGCTGGCCTCAGGGCAGGCTCTCAGCTGCAGCACCCAAAATGTTCTGGGCCCTCAGAGCCTTGGGTCCCCTGCGTCCACCTCCACAGTCCAGTCCTCAGGCCAAGGCCAGCGTCCTCCTCCAGCGTCCCCCGCCTCGCTCTGCCCTCTCCTCTTTGTGCCCTAGAACACGTGGGCTGCAGCCCCCGCCATCTCACCAGCCCAGGTCCACGCCTGCCTGGAAACAGGGCACCCAAGGGCCACTGATGGCCTGTCGGAGAATCAACGCGCGTCCCTCCAGAAGTGTTTAATTCTAGAGCCCAGCACACGGTATTTTAACATAGGGCCGCCGCTAATGATCGATGCGCTAGTTCAGGGGAAATTACCTCATCTAAAGTTCTATTTATGGTTCTAATAATCTCCCTATTGACATCAGGACTGTTGTCTCATTATAAATCCATTCCCGCCCACTGGAATGCAATCAATGAGCCCATAAAACAGAGAGGAAGCCTTAAAGGCCCACGTTTAATGGGGTGCCCAGGGCTGCCTGGCCACAGACCAGTGACCCCACCTGGGCATAGACACTGGCTACACCAACCCTGCTGCTCCCACTGCCAGCTCACACCCCTCCTCTGCCTCCGGGCACCCTCAGAGCACCTCCTCTCTCCGCCTGGCATTCGAGGCCCCTGCAAGACAGCTCCCCCCACCCCCCAGGTTAGGAGACCTCTGCTTATTCCCAGGGGCCTCCACCGTCTCCGCCACACCTCACACTGGGCCCACCATCTCTGACAATTCCCTCCAGGCTCAGCTCAATGCCACCTGCTCCAGGAAGCTGCCAGGCTCTCCCGAGCAGCCACCCCACCTCCGTGTTGCCCCAGGAAGCTGCCAGGCTCTCCCGAGCAGCCACCCCACCTCCGTGTTGCCCCTGGCACAATCCTCCCAGACAGGCCAGCTCTCGGGCCAGGAAGCACCAGGGGCTGCATGGCGGGGACTGGCCTCCCTCTCCTTGGCTGTGCCCCAGGAATAATAAATAGAGGCGTCGGAAGCAGCGAGGCGGGCCCAGGGTCATTGTCACACCAACTACAGGCTACTTCAGGTGCAGAAGCTCCTCCCAAGAGCCCTCTGGGCACCCGAGCCCCAAGCCACCAAGGGCCAGGGAGGCCCCAAGGACAGGATGGCCTCACAAGGACCAGCCCCAGCAGCAGGTCACGGGGGCCAGCGTCTAGCAGGGGCAGGGTCTCATCAAAGGCCACACGGGAAGTGACACTGCACAGTCCCATCTCACTGGCCCGAGAGGAGACAGCAAGCCGGGAGATGCGGACGGGGCAGGCGTCTGCCCCGCACTAAGATTATATGGGACTTTGTCCCAGCACCGAGGGGCCCTCCCTGTGTACCCTGCAGCCCCACTGGGCACAGAGGCTGCAGGAGACGTCTGCCTGCTGCTCTAGTTCAGAGACACTCACGGGGCAAGCCTGTGCCGCTGCCTCAGTAGTAACTGAAAAATATACCAAGCAAAATAGTTTTCACAGCCACCCACTGATCTGTCCTGGGGCTCCACGTGGTTGGGTGACACGTGCGGGAGGAGGGAGGGGAGGGTCTCCATGTACCCATACACACCTGTGCAGCAACATCACCTGGTCCCACCTGGACTGGTCCGCACCCCTTCATTCACCCCCCTACCCCACCCCTATGTCCTGATAAGGCCTCCATGCTTCACAGCCCCAGGGAGGCCTCCACAGAAACTGTGCCCTCTGCTTGGAGGGTCCCTCCTACTTTGCTTCTGATGAACTCTGCACAGCTGGGCCCTAACCTTCAGTCCTCAATCAGATGGGTGCAGCTGAAGGCATGCTACCCCCAAGAGAAGGTCCCCCCGAGTTGTTCAGGGCTCGGACAGAGCAGCCAGGTACCTTCTGGGGAAAGGCCCTCCCAAGACAGCCCCTAGCCCCAAACCCAAACCAACTATCTCCCGTGTTCCAGGAAACCCCTGATCCAACAACTCACCCTCTCCTGACCCTCCATTCTGGTACCCCTCCTCCTAGATGGGAAACTGGGGGACACAGAAGAGACTTGGGAGAAACCCCCACCAGCTAAGTTCTGTGGCAGATGGGAAAGAGACCGGGACCCCAGCTCCACCCTCCAGAGCTGGCTTCATCTCAGGCTGTGGTGCCGACACCTGCACAGAGCCCTCCCAGAGGACACCCTGCCGTGGCACCCACAGCACCCCGTGGTGCCCAGGGCTGGTTCCATGGAAGCCATGTCCACTGCTATGGTGACAATCTGGTGGGCCAGAGAAGGGGTAGTCTTGGCAGGAGGCATTCTGCAGTCAAGTGCGAAGAGGTGGCTCCCAAGAACAGGCCCCGTGAGAGGGTGGGCACAGAACACCCGCTCCTATAGGCCTCACCCTCCGGTCCATGGGCGAGCCTGTGTCACCTGGCCATGCCCCTGGGGCGGCCTGGCATGGCGAGAGAGCTGGAGAGGGAGGGATCCCTGGGGACCCCTCCTCATGAGATGTTCCTTCTGCCCCCACTGCCTGAGGATGAAGGTCTGATCTCGTCCCAGGAGCCACGGGGCCCGTCCATCAGCCCACAACACCATGTGTGGTCTAGGAAGCAAAAGTGGCCAAACCATCCCCAAGCACGCAGGCTGGCACTGTGTGAAAGCAATGCTCTAGGGGACATGAGAGGACACTGTCCACCAGTGACCTGCAGGCAGCCTTGACGTGGGCCTTAGGACTATCTGGGGGCCTCCCCCAACATCTATAGCCCCTGGCTTTTGGGGGAGCTGCACCGCAGGTGAGGTGTGGAATGAACCCCTAGGAGGAAACGCAGCTATGACACAGCTGCCAACAGCCCTTCCCGGGGGTTCCAGGAGCCCCGCAGCCTACCCCGCCCAGCGCACTCACCAGGCACGACGGTGGCAAGAAGCTGTTGACCCTCGAGACGCTCCACATGCCCTCTAGGCACTGCTGGGCCTGGATCGTGACCGTGCTCAGGGCCCCGCCCAGGCCGGCGGGTGCCACCGACACCTGGACACTGGGCCCAGACGGCCAGGCCAGCCCCTTCCTCCTGTCTGGCCCCGCTCGGCCCGGCTGCCTCCCTGCCAGGCCCACTGGCACTGGTACATCCCTTGAGCTGGTCATGGTGCCGGGACTGGGAAGCGCGACGCCAGGTCCTCCACGAGGGGTGTCAAGGTCCTCGCAGCTGGCAGGCGCTTGTAGCAGCCGCAGGGCCTCCAGTGTGAGTTGGTTCAGGTGGGTGGCACAGACGTCACAGCGACGCTCGGCCTCCGGGCGGAACGCCGGAAGGGCCCCAGGCACTGGAAGCTTGTCGAGAAGCAGCGCTGAGAGGCAAGGGTCCTAGGGAACAAGGGACAAAGGTGGTCAGAGCGTGGGACCAGAACCCGCCACTTGTTCCTCACCCTCCACGGCACCAGGCCAGCTCCCGCTGCGGCCACCGCACAATCCATAACTGCTAATAAACCCCAAAAGGTTTCACCGGCATGCACCCAGCAGGAAAACGCGGATCAGAGCTGACTACTGAGGCCTGAGCTGCCCTTGACACTGCCCATCTCCTCCCGCCATCATTACCGGTTTGCTCACAGCTAACAAGGTGTCTGCGTGCTCCCGAAGAACCAGGCCGCAGCAGCCAAGGTCACGGGCCTGAGGAGCCTCAGAAGGCTGGGGATGCAGGGCCAGAACCCCCACCCCTGTCCAGGGCCTTCCACGGCTCAGCTGGGTGCACTCGACGCCCAGGGCGTGGGTGGAAAATGACGTCTATTCCAGAGCCACGAGGGCCTTCGTGGTTCAACCCCGGTCGAGACGGGGCTGGGAGCCGGAGACGCTCTCTCTGCCTTTGTGAAATCTCCAGCTCTTGTTGGGATCGGAAGAATGAAATGTGGTCCTGCTGCCAATGTGCCAACAGGAGTCAGGCCCTGCGAGGACGCTCTGCAGGGGTGAGCCCGGCAATCCCAGGTCCTGCTGCGCTGGCCAGCAGGGAGGCAGGAATCAAGGCTCGATGCCCGTCACGCTGGTCCACGGGCCTGAGCTTGGCCCCCCGAGCTATGCTGATTGGTGGCTGCCCCTGCAGCCGAGTGCCCCCTGCCCTACACTGGGGAGACACATGGGTCTCCCTAACCGTGAGCCTGGTATCCAGAGAGGGCTAAGAACTGGAGCCATGGAAGCCCATCGGAGGCCCTCGCCTAGCCTGGAGGTCAGGGAGGGCTTCCTGGAGGAGGAGACACCTCTGGAAAAAGGAGGTGGAGGAAGGGGGGGCGTGCCAATTCTCAGAAGGAACCTCCCTGGAGGGCCCATCCCGTTCCTCTACCAGCACACCAGGTTCTGCCATGGCATCTCCCCGGTAGCCCCGCAGGGGTCAAGGTCTGAGCTGGGGCCAGCCCCTCAGTATCTCTGCCCCTTCCTTGAGGGGGGAGCTCCAACCATGGGGGCCCGGCCAGGGCAGCCTCTCGATGGAGAACCAGCCCAGCTCAAGAGCCGGGACCCTCCTCCCCCGACCTCTGCCACAGGCAGACATGTGCTCCCTGGCCGGCCACACCACCCCCGAGAGATGACCTGGCTCCGGTCCAGCTGTCCTGCTGACCACAAAAGGGACTACGGCCTCTCCGAACACACTCATTTCTCAAATCAGGAGGCTGAGGCCACCATGCAACAGGGGTACCTCATTCACCTCACCTGAGCCCAACCTGTGTCTGGTTGGGATGCCTGGGAGGGCTCAAGTGGGTGATGGCTGTGGCAGGGTGGCCTTCTGTGAGGGGACACTCTGCCAGTCCGGCATAAGCAGGCAAATGCTCTGCTCCTGTGTCCCCAGTACCACCCCCCCACCCCCGTGCTCCCTGTGTGTGGGCCACACAGCTGCTTCCCTCACACCCCCTCTCCCCCAGGTAGACCAGGTCGGATGGGCCAGGTCTCCAGCTGCCATACCTAACAGCCACTCCGAAAAGCGGGGGCTGGAGGGCCCCAGAGCCTCTGAAGTGCCTGGCGTGCCTGGTCCCAATTAGCGGGCACCCCTCGCCCTCCTGCACCCCATGAGGTGGCCGTGGGAGTCCTGCAGAGGTGGGGGAGGCCCATGGAAAAGCTGCGGGAACCCCCACTTGGGTTGGCACGCAGGCCACAGATGGGGTCCAGATGCCCTGGGCCCTGCAGGCTTGTCACTGCTGCCTGCTTTCCAGGTCCCAGCTCTGATGACTCTGGTTTTTCCACTCAGCAGGAGGCCGCTAATGGTGGGCTGGGGTGAGGGAAAGGAAGTGCAGCCTGCTAGAGCCATTAACCCGACTTGAAAGGCGGCCCAGGCCCCGCCCGGTCCCCGCCCCACCCCCAGGCCCCAGCAGTCCCATTGTTCCAGGACCTCTGCCTGTCTTAGGGGCCTCAGACCTCTAGGGGAGCCCCCCTGGAGCCCCCTCCACACCCTGCACAGGAGGCAGGAAGGAAAGCTCGAAGCAGGAGGGGGGCTAACTGGCCTAAGCGTGCACCAGACCCCAGCCCCCCACCAGCCAGGCAGGCACACAGGCTGGGGGCGCAAGGCGGCACGCCCCAGGCCCTCCTGCCCAAGCCCCCTCCCCACAGCTGTGTCATCAGGAATTCAGACAGCAGCTGTCAGGGAGGCCCCAGGGGCCCAGGCCTGGGGCGCTAAGCGTGGAAGCCCCAGGTGGGAGCACAGGGGTCTGCTCTGGTGTGGGGGGCACCAGCTCAAGCACCCCATCATAGAGAGAAAAACCAGGGCTGCCTGGTCACCTGCTCAGCAGCCGACAGCAGCAGCTATGTGCTCGCAGCTCTCCAGGCCCTATCCCCGCCCAGCCTGCCCCCTAACAGCCTGCCCCCAGGAGGCCTGGCCCAGACACATCAGGGTGCTGCCCCGTGACGAAAGCTCACCCAGAACTGGCAGCCAACCCTCCGTCGGGGACCCTCACCATCACAGCTGCAGAGGTACCACAGGCCGCAGGGGGCTCCTGGCATGGGACACGTGGCAGAGGCCAGAGTAGGGCAGGCCTGCCTCACAGGACAGGCAGCCCTACAGTGTGGGGTGCTCACAGTCCATGGTTCACTCCACCTCGCACCCCACACGGGGGTGGGGGGGACCCGACACCTCTCAGTCTGCCGGACCAGTGTGGGGACCAGTAGGCTATGGGCAGGGCAGGCCCAGCCCCGGGCTCTCCGCCCCCAGCACCCTGGCCCTGTGTTCAGGCTCCGGGCAGGGGAGGCTCCTCCTGGGGGACACCACCCGCTACCCCCGGTAGCCCTCTGTAGGCCTCCACAGCGTACAGACCAACAGTGTCAGACCTCAGCACCTCAGAGACCTGGGGCAGCCCACCCTTCCCCGAGGCCAGGTCCCCTCTCCCAGCAATGGGCTACTCCTGGCAGCTCCGGGGGTGCACAGGCCCCAGCCCCCAGGCCCCAGGGGTCACAGTCCTGATTTCCAGACTGTTAGGCCCTGAAAGCCCAGCCCCCATGCCGCCTACCACCAACCTCTCCACTCTGGGGCCCGACACCTTGAAAGACAGTCATTACCCTGCTGCAAAACATTACTTTTAATTTCCTCTTTATGGTCTAATTAAACAGACATTGTACTTGCATTTGGACAATGTTTTTCTTAATCTGATTCAATTTAGCATTGCACAACACCTACCCAGCACGCCGCACGGGTTTTAGGGAGCCTCCCCTCGAAACAATTTCCCACGCTTCATCTTATTTCTGGGGTCTCCTAAGTGGCTTTAGTAATCCTTCCATTTTCTCCTGCATGGGGGCCCAGAGGGACTTTACCAGGGATGAGCTGTCCCGTCAGCTCTGCCACAGCGGCTCCTCCCAGCCCAGGCCCAGCCAAGCCCACCCGGGCACCGGACTGGAGCTGACCAGATGTCCCAACTGAGGCTGCCATGGCGGGGGGATGGGAGGGGTCTGCTCCCCAATTCAGAGAAGCCCCAGACCGCAAGACTGTGAGACAACAGTCTCCAAGTCCATCAACCTGTCTTTAAACAGGGGGCCCCGGCACCCCCTGGCAGGGCCGCTGGGCCAGAGGCCTAGCCTGGAGGAGCGCCCAAACCCTGGGGGTTGCCCTCCCTGGCCGCCACTGTTGGCATGAGCCAGCGGGCAGCCCAGCATGGGTCCTCACTGGCCACAGCATCTGCCTCGTCCAGTCCCCTCTTCCCTTCACAAACAAAGCATGCAGGCAGTGACCCCAGGCAGCCACCATTTCCGGAGTTGACAACAGGTTCAGGAAGGGGCCTCTGGCTGCTGGGCCAGGTGAGGCCTCAGGGGCTCTGCTGTCGAGGACATTCCGATGTTGTGTGCAGCCTGGTGGGGCCAGGGATTGGGGGCTCAAGTTTCCAGCCTGGAAACCCGCTGGGCTGTGGCTGGCCTCCTCCCCCTCCTCTCGGTCGCCTGGGGCCCCTGAGGCCCCTCCCACGAAGGGCCTGACTCCCAGCCCTAGGCCCTGCCCGCCCACATCCACTGAGTCCCCGGGAAGACCTAGAGATGGAGACCGGGAGCCTGGCCCTCCCCTCGCTGCCAGCCAGGACCCTGAAAACCGTTCCAGCCCCATCGGTATGCAGTTCTGCCGGCCCCTGAGCTGACTCAGGCCTCCCTCCTCTGCCAGGGGGAGGGCTGGGAGGATGGGGGGGCGCAGCCCAACCCACCCAGCACTGACCGGCACCCATCCCCAAGGCCCTGTGCCAGGCACCAGCCAGCTGGGCAGCTCAGGGCACAGACTAGTTTATTGAGACCTCCTCCCCTCAATGGCCTCCCCTGTCCTCTGCCAGACGCCACCAAAGACTGCGGGGCCCCTGGGGGCTAAAGACCAGGACAGCCTCAGCTGGAGGGTGTGGCGGGGAGGCCAGCTTCCTCAGGACACCCGCTGCTCAGAGGAGGTCAGCACACTTTGGGGGCCTGGGGCTCGCCCAGACGCACTCTCAGTCCAGCTCTGTGGGTGCGAGCTTCCGGCCCAGGGTCGTCAGTTTTCTCATCTGAACATGAGCTGCATCAGGTTTTCCCCGCCAGGGTAGCGGGCAGCGTACCCTGCAGGCCATCCTCACCAGTCACCCAGCAGAGAAGAGGCGCCAGGCAGGATGGGCCCTAAGCACCATCTCGAGATCCAACACCCAGACACACCACTGCCAGGTACCGCCAGGCTGCCACTGCCCCATTGTGCTGGCTGGATAAGTTCCCTCAGTGCCAGGGCAACCGCCTCGACACCCACCACACTGGGAGCCACCTTGCTCACTGGCTACCATGAGCACACTCCCTTTACAGACTGAGGCTCGGAGAGGCTAAGATACATGGCTCAGGCCACACAGCTTGGGTAGCAGAGCTGGGGCTCAAAGTGTGGAGAGCACAGAAGGGGATGGGGG